AATGATACAGTTCCATTGCGAAACCATTTCGTCAAAATTTGTAACTGTTAGATCATCATGTTAATCTAACGGTTACATATCTCGACGGAATAGTTCTGTAATTGGACCCCGTAATCAATTAATACAAATTAACTAACTCAAAAACTTTAAGCTTGAGAGTAGTAATTGAAATTTTATGAATATTTTTTTATTCATATTAAATATTTTTTTTAATGCAATTGTACCGAATTTAGTGCAGTTTTCGTATTGTTGTGTAATTTATTTATTTATTTAAATAAAAAATTACTGGTATGGGGGACCAAATTATAAATTGTGGTTTTCACGAGAGGGACCAAAACCAAATTTAATAGGAAAAAAAAATATATATATATATATGGTGGTGAGTGGTGAGTGGTGAGTGGTGAGCACCTTGTCATCAGTGAAAAACACTCTATTTTCAGGGTTGTCATATTTGGAGTGAACCCACGAATTGCACGTCACTTGGACAGAGCCAGCTGGCAGACCGTCAAATTTGACGTCTTTAACGAACATTTCTGTTCGGTGCTCATTCTCTAAAATAATTGCCCCAATCTCCCCAAAATCACTGGAAATATCAAATTTGGCCTCGTAGTGAATCTCGTTCTTCTCCTGCCCAACCTTATGTGCGTATGCGCTAATGGTTGGCTTCTCTTGCCCCGAATCTACCAAAATCATCATAAAATTAATGAGATAAATTGCTTTTATGTAGGAAAATGCTACGCTCTTTACGAGATCATTTCGTCGGAATTTGTAATCGTTAGATCAACTATCCACGACGGTTATGATTATTTAATGGTTACAAACTAGCTTTGATGGAATGATTCCGTAACGGGACTGAAACATCGCCCTATTATATAAATTACACTTATTATATTACAAAGTATCATTTATTATATTATTATTTTATTAATAAAAAATACTATTACCTACATGCTTAAATATAATTCAAGAGTGGTTCGTTCGAAATCATATGATATGAGCCAATTCAGATTCTGATGGATGTTAACTATTAGATTATCACACACACACACACTATTTTAATCATTGAATTACACAATCACACAAACATTTGTGTAGTAGCAATCATATGTTAGAATTTTTTTAACATGATTGAAAATATAATGATTATTGAACTGTGATGGTCCTTCCTACATAGAAATTAAGTGGTGACATAAGGGACAAAATCCAAAGTTAGTCCCACACGTATAGGGATGACATTTTTGTCTCGACGAAATAATGAAAATCAAAATAATACACAACTTTCAAAAATTAATTAAAAGTAGAACTTTTGAAGCGATTTTCGACCCAAAAAGTCACGTCGCGCTGAGCTGACTTTTTTTCTTGACACGCTGGCAACAACCATCACACGTCGCATGCACTATACCTGTGAGACTAATTTTGAATTTTATTTTTCTATTTATTATATTGTTATGCTTTTCTTTTGTTATATAAATTATTATATATATTTATATATATTAATTAATATAAAAATGTTATTAAGTAAATCTAAGACAAGAAATATATATAATTATATATAAACAATTTCAATGATAAGAATACAATATTCATTGAAATGAAATTATAAAATATGTTTAGTACTTATATTTGGGATGTGTTATTTTTAATAGTTATATTTTTAGTTTATTTTTAATATTAAATTATTATAAAATTATAAAAATAATTTTATTCATGAAATAATTATAGTTGACTTCTTTTTTACTATATTTTCAATTAAATAATTATAAAATTACAAACAAAAAATTGAAAATGTGGATATTCCATAATATAATTCAACAATTGTATAGTGCTTCAAAAGTTTTTCTTAAAATTATTTTTTTAACAATATATGGGTTTCCTGATGTCGGTTTTCTCAGCTCGTGCCATTTATGCCAAAAAAACAAGGCAAATATATTTACATGTACATGTAAATGCACAATTTGTACAATTTAATTATTATTATTATTATTTTTTTTTTTTTAGTTTGCTCGTGCCATTTTGAAAGTTCAAAAGTAATTTCAGAAATATCATATTATATGAATTTGTTACCATTATTTTCTTAGAGTTATTTTTTTTAGGAAAATGCTATAAGTACATAATAAATGTACATAAAGGTGTGCAACACTCACATAGAGTGGAGTCTACTTAATTTTTTATTTTTGATGGGTCCAACTCGATTGGAATGTTATGTACATCCATATGTACAATGTTGTGTACGTATAACATTACTCTTCTTTTTAATCGGTACCTTGTTTAAAAATATGAATATTTGAATAACATTTGAAGCACTGCCCAACTGTTGCATTGATTTATTATTGAGTATTCCCATTTTAAATATATATATATATATATACATATATATATATATATTTTGGTAATTTTATAATTTTTTAATAAAAAATGTAGTAAAAACTATTAACTGCAATTATTTCATGAATAAAACTATTTTTTGTATTTTTATAATGATTTAATATAAAAAGAAGTTAGAAGAATAACTATTAAAAATAAAATGATAAATATAATTACTTCATTAAAAGATTTTCTAATTTCATTTTAATGCATAATGTATCCATAAATATAATTGATTTTTTTTATATTTATAATATATAATTATATATATATATATATTCATAATGCTTTTCATATATTTACTTAATAATACATTTATATTTAATAATATATATATATATATATAATAATTTATAAAACAAAATAAGAGCATATCAATATAAAAATAGAAAAAATTTCAAAACTAGTCCCAAATATAAAGTGTCATGCCACGTGTAATCACAGTTGTGAGCGTGTCAATAAAAAAAACGTCATATATGCGCGATGCGGCTTTTGATTAATTTTTTAAAGTTGTGTGAAATTATTTTGATTTTCACTGTTCCTTCCAGACAAAAAATGTCAACCCTTATACATGTGGGACTAGTTTTCAAATTGAAAAAAAAAAA